TTTAACAAAGAAATTCAACGTAATAAAGGCGTGGTTTTTCAGAGAGAAAACATCGCATTCGATACTGATATCGAAACTGCACTCGAATGCGATATTTTCCCTCTGAAAAAACCACGCCTTTATTACGTTGAATTTCTTTGTTAAAATTGGTAAGTGAGTGCTTTAGTCTCCTGACAACAGAATTGCGATCTCAGAATAGGAGAAAAATGACGAGTAGCTGGAAAAATGGAACCAATTGATGCGATATATCGCATGCCGTTCTGACACAAAATATGGCGTCCATCGAATCACCTTAAACTAACTTCTTTGCCCGTTGCGCAGGTTTAGGTGTTTCTGAACAGTGCTATGTCTATGGGCCTCTCTAAAGGTAAAGACAGGGTGAAAAACAAATATCTAAACGATGATTGTGAGGATTTAAGAACCAACGTGTATTTTGAGCCATATTGTAAAATTTCCAGTCAAAAAACGGGAACTGTCTTCAGTCTTTGGGCTTCTCTACAGGTATAGACAAGGTGAAAAATAATCATCCCAATGATTGTGAGGATTTGAAAACTCACGTGATGTGCAAAAAATGCAGCATTCATATCCTCAAAGAACTAGAGTCTGCAGTAAGCTCCTCAGTGTGTCAATTCTTCATTTCTCGAAGGCCGATTTTGGAAATTTAAAGTGCGCTAATCTCCAGGGACGCAAGTATGCGCATAATTTTTTCGCTCCGAAATTAAGTGTAGGGTTAGCACTAACCACTACAGTCGGTCTGCACGTGTGCGGACCTACACATGGCCTTTATTTAGAGCCATAATTGTAAAATTTTCGGTCAAAAAATCGGAGCTTTACTAAGTCTATGGGCTTCTCTAGAGTTATAGACAAGGTAAAAAATAATCATCCTAACGATTATGAAGATTTAAGAACCCACACGACCTGTAAAAAATGCAGTATTCATATTCCCAATGATCTGAGGTCTGCATTAACCTATCCTTAGTGTGTTAATTCTTTTATTTCTTCAAAGTGCCCTAACCCCCAGGGACGCAAGTATGCGCAGAATTTTATTGCACTAAAATCAAGTGTAGGGTTAGTACTAACTACTACAGTAGGTCTGTATGCATGCGAACCGGCGCAAGACATTTATCTAGAGCCATTTTTGTAAAAATTCGCTTGAAATTAGTAGAAAATAACGCTATGTCTAACGGCTTGTCTAGATGTATAGACACGTTTTTGAAGGATAGTGAAAACGTATAAACCTTTGACATGCCTTATATTTTTGATACACCATAACAGGACACTTCAAATTTGCATCCATTTCTGTGTGATGAACTTCAAATCATAGGACCAAACAGTAAACACTGAAAACTTGTGTGAGTCCGCCCGAAAGCACCTCGCGGCCTCACATTTAGGTGCTTATCATTTCCTTATAAGTGATCCAATCTTCATGATATTTGGCCAAGTTACTCTCGAGAGTATGCACTATCAATCTGTGGTGTCAAATTTTAATTTTTCCAAAATTCATTTTTTCGAATTAATGCCACCTAGATCGGGTCTGGGAACCAATGTGCGGTGTGTGCGCGGACAGTCAAAACGCCTTCATTTCCGTGCATATGCAACACGGACATCCATTGAGCTTGAATAGTTGCATCCAGCGTTTCACATGAAATACTCATAGTATTCGCCGCATTTACACAAACTAAGGGCGCTTTGCTTGTTTATCTCACACCGTAACTCCATTACAGCTTTGTCTATTGTACCGATGAAACTATTACTGATTTTCATCGTGCTATTGTTGAATTTCCGAATTATGCATTGATAGATTAAATATATTACGACGTTCCCGTCCTAAAATTCGGGCTGTGGCCCCTAACTTTTCTAATCTAAGAATAAAAGAGGAGTCGAAAACGTTTCAGGGTCACATCAGAAAAATTCAAGTACGCATCTGAACATATTTATATTCTTTTTCGCTCATGGGTTAGAAAAAAACTCAAATGTAAATGAACCAACGCACAGTGGATCAAGTCAATCAGAGAGGTCGGACACACAATTTTCCGCTAAAATTGCAAATTATAATGTTTATTCCGTCAGATTTTAAATTTTAAGGGGTGGCTCTGAAAGGTTTCACGAGGAAACCAATGAAACCACTTATAGAACCTCAAAGTTTTGTATGAACGGAGTTATACGCGTTTAAAGTTTCCAAATGTTGTCCGACCTTTCCTATTGACTCGATCCACTGTGCTACGGTTCATTTGGAGCCCGGTGAAGCAGGGCCCAAAACTTGTGGGGGAAAATGTCCGTTACCAATTGTGTCAGGATCATCCAATCGGAGCACCAGCGAACTGAGTTTATATAAAAAATCAATCATGAAATATTTAAAGGAAGCCGGTATAAAAGTCTCGTATAAAATCCTAGGTAAGATGGTGACAAAAATCAAGAATAATTTTCCTCTCAAGTTTTATTTTTAAATTTAGGTATTCGCGCTTGCAAGCAACTCTCACTAAATGCACACAAAACCCTTGTCTCGCATGGAAAAGTGAAAAATTTACGATACAAATTTCACAAAAGATGAATAAATTTTCAAAAACACGCTAGGGCACTACAGAATACTTCTGTTTTCGTTAAAGATTCTACATATTTTCAAAATTTGTGGTATATGAATCATTTTTTGAATGTGAATGAAGTTCTCTCCTTCAATGTAATGAGCATTTATTTACTTTATCTTTATTCCAACCTTGTTGATTTCCATGATATCACAAATTATTTTTCTAGCGGTAGGGGACGGTTGGGTGGGTGCATGGGGCCCGGACCACGCTATATTTTGTGCCAGAACGACAAGCGATATCTCGCATCACTTTGTTCCATTTCTTCAGCCACTCGTCATTTTTCTCGAATTTTGAGATCGCAATTTTGTTTTCGGGAGACTGCAGAATTCTCTTGCCACTTTTGACAAACAACATAATAAAGCCGGGGTTTTTTATAGGAAAGATATAATCATTCGAGTGCAGTTTCGATATCAGTATCGAATGCTATATTCTTCTTCTAAAACAACCACGGCTTTTTTACGTTGAATTTGTTTGTTAAAATTTATACGTGACTTCTTTAGTCTCCTGACAACAAAGTTGCGATCTGAAAATTCGGGAAAAATGACGAGTGGCTGAAAAAATGGGACTAATCGACTTTTCGATGCGATACGTCGAATGTCATTTAGACACAAACTATTGAGTCCATCGAATAGCCTTAAGGTGATTCGATGGACGCCATATTTTGTGTCGAAACTAAGTGCAATATATCGCATCGATTGGTTTCATTTATTCTGTCGTTTTTTTCCCTCGAATTCTGAGATCGCAATCCTCTTGTCAGGAGACTGGAGAATCCACTTACCAATTTTGATAAACGAATTCAATGTAATATAGGCGTGGATTTTTTTAGAGTGTCGAGTCAGCTTCACAGTGTGATGCGCCCTCGATCCAGCTAGCGGCAATATGCCTACACCCGAGGTCGAATTGATATCGCATTGCGTTTGGAGCCATGCGAGAGGTATTCATGCAGTCTTGTAGGCGCTGACATGCGTTCACGCCAACCGCACTGTTTGGCGCAATGCGTGAAGTATTTCTACAGTCTTGCAGGCGCTGACATGAGTGTAACAACGGCCGCACTGTGTTTGACGCGGTTACTCGAACTTGTGTTAAGGTGATTCGATGGACGCCATATTTTGTGTCAGAACGGCATGCAATATATCGCATCAGTTGGTTCCATTTATTCAGCTACTCGTCATTTCTCTCGAATTCTGAGATCGCAATTCTGTTGTCAGGAGACTAAAGCACTCACTTACCAATTTTAACAAATAAATTCAACGCAATAAAGGCGTGTTTTTTTAGAGGAAAAATATCGCATTCGAGTGCAGATTCAATATCAGTATTAAATGCGATGTTTTCTCTCTAAAAAAAACACGCCTTTATTACGCCGAATTTCTTTGTTAAAATTGGTATGAGTGCTTTAGTCTCCTGACAACAGAATTGTGATCTCAAAATTCGAAAAAAAATGACAAGTAGCTGAAAAAATGTAACTAATCGATACGATTTATCGAATTTAATTTAGACACTAACTATAGCGTCCATCGAATAGCCTTAAGGTGATTCGATGGACGCCATGTTTTGTGTCAAAACGACGTGCAATATATCGCATCAATTGGTTCCATTTTTTCAGCTACTCGTCATTATTCTTGAATTTTGAGATCGCAATTCTGTTGTCAAGAGACTAAAGCACTCACTCACCAATTTTAACAAAGAACTCTAACGTAATAAAGGCGTGGTTTTTTTAAAGAGAAAATATCGCATTCGAGTGCAGTTTCGATATCAGTATCGAATGCGATATTTTTCCTCTAAAAACCCACGCACTGGAAAAAAAACACATTGGATCTGGAGTCCAGACTCTTGAAAACATTGACAAGAAAAAATACTCTTGAATCAATCAGATTTAAGCTTAAATCAAAAGGAAATCCGCTCAAATTAAGAGCCTTGGTTCTTGATTTAAGCAAAAATCCGATTGAGTCAAGAGTATTTTTTCTTGTCGATGTTTTTAAGATTCTGGACTCTAGATCCAATGTATTTTTTTTTCCAGTGCGTCTTTATTAAGTTGAATTAGTTTATTAAAATTGGCAAGTGAATTCTGTAGTCTCCTGACAACAGAATTGCGATCTCAAAATTCGAAAAAAAAAAGAAAAAAAATGACGAGTAGCTGAAAAAATGGAACTAATTGTTACGTTATATCGACTGTCATTTAAACACTAACTGTAGCGTCCATGAAATAGCCTTAAAAGCTCCATGACCTAACCTCAAAATAACCGACATGTTAATAGCAGGCGCTTCGGGAGGATCCCTGCCGGTGCCCGGGGCAGGGCGGGACGGTGGCGCTCGAGCCGGCAGCATCGCGTGGGTGGGCGGGGGCGGGCACGCATGCGCATCAGCTGATGCGGCGTCGCGGGCCGGGCGTCGGGCCGCGGAGAGCTTTGGTGATAACCCGGCGAGGCAGTCTCCGTCGCGACGCGCCAGCGAATGTAAATGCCGTTTCGCAACCGTCCCCGGCCCGACATCCGAATCTGACCTTCAGCCTCACCGGCTCTCGGCCGACTCTCGCGTTTTCCCGATCCTTTTGTATTCGTCAGTCTCCCCGCGATCAGCGTCTGTACCCGTTCCGACCCGCGAGCTTCGTTCCGTCATTTTGCGCAACGTGCTTTCGCGCCGCCGCGCGGTAGTGTTTACAGTGCTGTGCTCGAATCGCCGCTTGAAACTTGGATTTGTGTGTGTTTTAAGTCAACCGGTGTCGCTGTCAACACCGAGTGGTGTTGTTGTGGGAGCAGTTGCGAGCTTTAGCAGCCCTGCGAGGACGCAGTGAGAAACCGGTTAGTATTTGGCGCTTTATGGCATGTTTTGGCGCAGTTTTTGGCCTGCAGCTAGGGGTCGATGGGAAGGGGAGGACACCGGGGAAAATCCCGATGGGCCTGTTGACAATTCGGGTAGTTTAAGACCAGTTTTTCTCCTTCAATCGGCAAATCCAACTAAAATAGACCGATCGAAGCACTGGTGAGCTGGACAACCAGTTACTTTTTTGGTCCCAGTCTGCCTTTGCCTACAGCGGTGCGTCTTAATGCAAGTTCCATACAAGTTTTCGCACGAAACTTGGATATTTGTTTAGTCACTGTCGTGATAGCGAAGAGAGCAGTACAGCCGCGCAAAGGTTTAGTTACACGATCAAATTGAGCCATCAAACTGAAGGTCTGATTGGTGGAAAAAGACCTGAGGCGAGGATGCGACCAATGAGAGGCCCAATTTGATGGCTCAATTTGATCGTATAACTGGACCTCAAGAAAGAACGCCGTATGAGCCTTCAGGCGTTGTCAAATTTCCCCCGGCAAATCACTAATTTTCAGGAAAAGTTTTGAACGTTTGTCAAGCAATTTCCCAGATAATTTTGTTTGTAATTTGATCTAAAACGTATGAAAATTTCAAGGAGAAATGTTCATAATTCTCCTCAGAAATAAACATTTTATCGAAGGAAATTAGGCAACTCTCGAATGTTCATACGGCGTTTTTCCCTAGCACGGCAGAGTACGAGTAAGTGCATTTCTGTATGAGCTATGGTTAGCAGCTCATGCTTTTATGTGTCTCGAGGTTCATCCCAGAATGAACTTACTGCTCTCTTCCTCTATCACGGCAGCACAGACTGGAGCAAACAGGAGCAGACAGGCAGGGAGAGGTCTAGGGGAATAATTCTGGTGGACCGGTCGACATTTTAGACCAAATTGTCTTCCTCAAACGTCAAAAAATGGAAAAAAATAGGCCGGTCGAAGCACTCACTGATAAGCCGGTTGTAACTTTTTGGTCCCAATCTGCCCCTGCCTGCAGCGATGCATACAAGTGCACGTTAAACAAACTTTTCCTCAATGCAAGTTTCAATATCCAGCACGAAACCTCATTTTGAACTTCAACAATTTTGCGACTTGTGAAGACACGGTGAAAAGTCGCTCAGTATGTGGCGCTTTATGGCGCAGGTCAGAGGGGGGGGGGGGGTGTCAAGGAGAATAATCTTCGTGGACCGGTCGGAATTTTTGACCAAATTGCCCCCCTCAAACGTCAGAAGATGCCCAAAAATAGGCCGGTTGAAACACTGATAAGCCGGATACTGAATGATTTTTTTCATACCGTCCACCTCTGCCTTCAGCCGTGTATACAAATGCAAGTCATACCACTTTCCAAATTCGCAAGTGTCAATATTTAACATGGGACTGTGTTATTTTGAGCTTAAGCAGCCTTATGTCTTGCGAGAGCACCGTAAAAAGTCGGTTGGTTTTTGGCGCTTTATGGCATGTTTTGGAGCAGTTTTTGACCTGCAGCTCTGGTTCGATGGGCAGGAGAGGACACCAAGAAAAATTCCGATGAGCCTGTGGACAATTAGGGTTGTTTAAGACCGGGTTTTCTCCCTCAATCGGCAAATCCAACTAAAATAGACCGATCGAAGCACTGAAGCTGGACAACCGGTTACTTTTTTGGTCCCAGTCTGCCTTCGCCTACAGCGGTGCGTCTTCATGCAAGTTCCATACAAGTTTTCGCTCGAAACTTGGATATTTGTTTATTCACTGCGAATGTCAATATTCAACACAGGCTGCACCGATGACGAGTTTGCATCGGTCAAAGACACAATACGAGTAGGTCAACTGGCATTACTTGTAACTTTTTTTCGTCCTACACCTGCCGGTTCAAGGCCGAGATGCAAGTGGGGTATGATGCGAATCTTCACCATCAAGCAAAGGACAAAATAAGTTTAGGTAAAGCTAATTGAACTACACTTTGCCATTAAGAATTACTATTCCTAGGTTCTTTAAGAGACAACATACGTTCAAAGTGTTTCCCTACGTACTTGAGTGCTGTTAAGGATAATTCAGAAATAGTAGTTCCTTACTGCGAAACATTGTTCAATCGACGTACCTGTCTTGTGTCTTCGACGCAAACCATTTTATTCCGTGTGTTTCATTCTAAGCTTTAGCAGACTTGCGAGGATGCAATAAAAAGTCGGCCAGTATTTGGCGTTTTTCGACATTGTTTGGGCAAAATTGCGGGTTTGAAGGGAGGGTTTGCGTTCCGTTTGTACAAAACTTTGAGGTTCTAAAAGTAGTTCCATTGGTTTCCTCGTGAAATTTCCTTTCAGAGGCACCACTTAAAATTTAAAATGTGGCGAAATAAACATCAAAATTTGTACTTAAAGTCAAAAATTTCTTGTCCGACCTCTCTGATTTACTCGATCCACTGTGCGACGGTTAGATCGGAAATGGAATCCGGCACGTGATACAAAATAGTTCTTTTAACTCAACTCAAAAGTTAGAATTTTCATTGGAAAAAAGTCTCTTGTATCCAGAGTCCAGACTCCTAAATTTGACAAGGAAAAACTACTCTTGATTCAATGGGCCTGTTGCAAACTTTTGCTAGAGCAAAACTAAGAGTTGTTTCTTACAGATAATGCCTCAAAAATCACGATGAGCGCATCGGCAAAGTCTGAAATGCACTCATAATTTCACAATCTGCGTGAGGAATTTGCGGTTTTTTAAGGTTCCCGCTTCGAAAACGATACTACGGTACAGGTGAACATTTTGTTGCAGGAGTCGTTCCATTGGTGGCAATACTCATCATGGCCGACGCCAGTCCGCCAAAACACGTGTGATGGGACGAGATAACACCTGAACAGGATTAAACCAGATAACAATCGGCGTGTTTACGTTCATATTTTCCTCGCCCGCCTTAATTGACCTTGAACTCTCCTCGAATTACGCGAGGAACTGCGCAAGCGTCGGCCATGATGAATATTGCCGACGATGGAGCGACTCCTCTAACAAAATGTTCACCTGTGCAGTAGTATCGTTTTTGGAGCGGGAAGCTCAAAATAACGCAAATTTCTTACGCAGATTGTGAATTTATAAGTGCATTTCAGACTTTGCCGATGCGCTCATCGTGATTTTTGAGGCATTATCTATAGGAAACAACTCCTCATTCTGCTCTAGCAAAAGTTTGCAACAGGCCCATTGGATTTGCATGAATCCAAATGAAATTCGATTAAATCAAGAGGCCGGATTCTCGATTCATGCAAAAATCCGATGAAAACAAAATCATTTTTCGTCAAATTTTTAAGAATCTGGACTCTGGATCCAAGATACTTTTCCCCGGTGTTATCTAGGAGTTAATTTTCAGGCTTACTCTTCTCTGATTTGTTTTCCTCTTCAAATGTTGAGGAGAAAACATGTTATAACTTCATGCTTTGTCTATCGGCCCATCAAAGTTGCCCGAACTCCACGAGGCTTAAAAGTGTTAGCAGTCAAAGATGATATCTATCGACTTCAGTCTATCATTGCAACGCCTCCCTTCTGCGGCGTGGGGTTGACCCAGGTCAAGCCAATCGATACGATGGCCGGGGCCAGAGTGACGGTGAGGTGTCAACACAGAAAACGGCGTGGAATGATTGAGGTTATGCGGTGGCTTCGCGTGTGTTGCATAACGAGAGCTTGGTATGTGAACAGTAGGAAAACCCGAGCAGAGGCAATGTACTTTAGAGATATTGTACTGAAAATCTAAGCGCTCTATTTGGGTTAGGCAAAAGTTAAAGTTAAAAGCCAACGCTACTTTTCACCAAATGATGATTGCTCATGATCGGCAATTTGATGATGGCTTAAAATCAAATAAAATTCGCCTATTGGCGACTAATGAATTTCGGCGTGAGCTTTTTGATAGGCGAAGTTTTGCACATTTTAACTAAACGTGAAAATTATCTATGCGCGAACAGCCAGGGAATGTCCGTCATTTTGGTCAAGGAAAATTTGGAAAAGTCAAGGAAAAAATCTGAAGACTCCTTGTATTTTCAGTGAGAAACTGTTGTCAACCGGTCTTCCGAGAGTTTCACATATAACTTAACTGAGCCTGTTGAAACTTATACTTCTGCAGTGTCAGGTAGAAAGTGTTTTCCATTAAATTTTTTTTTTTTTTTTTTTTTTTTTTTTTTTTTTTTTTAACGTTTTTTTCCCTAGAATGCCGTTTGGAACCTATGTAGTTGAATTTATAAACAGGTGTATTAAGTCAAATACAGTGAGTTATTATAGATGGGTTTTACGGCATACGACTAAAGATTTTCCGGTTTATCGAAGCGCGACGTGATTGCTGAGACCCTTTAGACACTTTGACGGCTGTTGACCTAGCTTCTGATGCGTGTTGTTGAGGAACATCACAGTTTAGGTCAAACGAAAGCGTCCTTTGTACAACCGTGTTTCAAATTTGACCTTTAATCAGTCGGTGACCTTCACACCTTTCCCCTCTTTCACTACAATAATCATTGAATGTCAGGTTCATTGATGTTACTTCTCTACGAACCGAATTCTTAGTTATACTTGCTCGTAGTTAATGCATCGATAGACCTTTGTTTACACGTAATACTGCACATTCCAAAGATGCATCAATGTATCCAGATCCTCAATATCCACCTAGTTTCGGTAATATTGATGGGGAATCTTGTAGCAACATCACTAAGCTACCAAAAGCAACATTGACCCACATTCGGATACTGTTATAGCCTTAATTTAGGTTTTATGAAAAATATTAAATGGGAATAAATAGTTGAAATGCACTTATTCTAGTCTTAATATATCCAAAATATTAAAAGAGAAATTAATGTTATTGCAAAATATTTTAGATGTTTGCTTATTTACGCTATAGACTCACCTTAAATCTGGACTAAATTTATTAATAAGACACTACTATTTCTGGCCCACTCATAAAAGCACTCACCTGCATCGGAAATCTAATGACGCAAACAACGTTTCTACAATGAGCCAGAAATATTAGTTTCTTATCGCAAAATATGGTC